GGGAGGAACGCGGGGCACCGTCTCTTCAAAACGAGGACCCAACACCACAGGATGGTTGGGAAAAAACATGTGGAAGAGGGGCAAAGAACAAAACATTAAAGAACCTTGACCTTACATCCTCCCCTCCCAGGATCCTGACACGGCCCTGGCGAGTCGAACACTGCGCTTTCAACGAACCCGCCTTGTCGCCAGGAGGGGCACGCTGAAATAGCCCACGCCGGCAGCGACTCCCGAGTCTTGGTAGAACACCTGGCTCGGCGCTGGACTTCCTCGTCCCGCTCCACCCTACAGCTCTCCATCCTCCTCTCTACTGATCTTCTTACAACACTCCCTCCTCATCATCCTTCTCCTTCGCCTCACCCTCCTCCTCCTCCACCTCCTCCTCTAACCCCCTCATCCTCCTCCTTCTCCTGCCCCAATAGTTCTCCTCCTCGCATTCCTCAACCTCCTCCTCCTCCTCCTCCTCCTCCTCCTCCTCCTCCTCCTCCTCCTCCTCCATTCCTTTTCCTTTTAAATAACTTCTCCCTGCCGCACCCCGAGGCCAGTTTTTAGGGCGTGCCCGGCGCTTCGCTTCCTTACCACCTATGACTCTGAATATGAAAAAATGACAACAGTTTCACAGATGGAGGGCGGGTCGTTTTCAAAATGCGGCTCTCGCCTTAGCGCGGCGCACATTCGTTTTTAGAGATTGGCAGCAGTTTCACGGATTGAGAGCGGGTCGTTTTCAAAATGTGGCTCTCGCCTTAGCGCGGTGCACATTCGTTTTGATAATTGCAAGGGTTTCACAGATTGAGGGCGGGTCGTTTTCAAAATGTGGCTCTCGCCTTAGCAAGGCGCACATTCGTCTCTAAAATGTGCAAGAGTTTCACGGACTGAAGGCGGGTCGTTTTCGAAATATGACTCTCGCCTCAGCGCAGCGCACACTCTTTGGAAAAATGCAAGAGTGTCACGGACTGAGGGCGGGTCGTTTTCAAAATGTGGCTCTCGCCTTATCGAAGCGCACATTCGCCAACCAAAATTTCAAGGGTTTTACATATTCCCATCATCAGCGTACCAGAAATTGTGTTTTGGAAGGATTCAGGATTATGCAGGTGCAACAGTTACGTTGATTCTCTGTGGTCAAGTCCTAGGACTGAGGTTCTGGTATGATTCAGGACCGTCAGGACGCAACAATCAGGTTCTTATCCGTGGAGTTGGAATCCCGAGAACAATGTTTTGGCATGCTTCAGGGTCTTCAAACGGGTGTCTTCCAACGAGGAAATTCCATCAATGGAATTGCACCGTTGTATGGGCCTATGAAGAGGGTTTACTCCAACATCATTGATTTCCTCCTCGTCCTTCTCATCGTCCTCCTCCTCCTCCTCCTCCTCCTCCTCCTCCTCCTCCTCCTCCTCCTCCTCCTTCTCCTCGACTCCCTCCGGTGGCGGAATCAGCGCCTCGAGGCGGGCCCAGGGCTGGTCGGGATCCCGCAGCCACTCGGAGCGCACCGGCACGGAGGCGTCCCGGGCCACTCCGTCCCTCCTCTTGTCCGAGGCGAGATGCTCCTGTGGATTATGTCGTCTAAGAGGCTTCTCCTCCTCCTCCTCTCCTCCTCCTCCTCCTCCGCCTCCTCATCCTCCTCCTCCTCCTCCTCCTCCTCCTCCTCTCTCCTCCTTCCCCCTTCCCTCCCTCCCTATCTCCCCCTCCCTCCCTCCCTCCCTCCCTCCCTCCTCCCTCCTCCCTCCTCCCTCCTCCCTCCTCCCTCCTCCCTCCTCCCTCCTCCCTCCTCGCTCCTCCCCCTGTTCCGCCCAGAACGCGACTTGGGAAAACTGGGTGGAGACCTAGAGAAGAGGGTCACGCCAGCCCCGTCCCCTCACCCCGAGCGCCCCCCTGCACACCACAATCCACCCATGAAAGGCTTGTTCCTTTGACTGGCGCTCGAGCCCGCCGAGGGGTGCCCGTGGAGGAAGGAGGGAGCACCCGATCGTGCTGGGGGCGCGCCTAGTGCGGCGGTCCAGTGGAGAGGGGGGAAGGAGGGAAGGAGGGCGGAGGGGAAGGAGGACGAGGCTCGGAGGAGTGAGGGGGGGGACGACAGGACAGGGCGCCGCTTCCCGGGTGGCTTCAGAGACATCGAGCACTGCCAATGTCACTGTTGTTGCTCCTCTTTGATCGGCGGCGCGCCGATTGTGACTACCTACCAGACCACCCCAACCCAACCCGAAGACCCGAATTTGACCCGAATTTCGGGTTGGGGGGGGTACGGATACCATGTGTTTTTTCAACGTTCCCCGACCCCCCCCCACTGGAAATCGAGGATAAATTTGGGCCTTCGGGTTGGGTTGGGGTGGTTTGGTGGGCGGTGAGATTGGGGGGGCGTGAGAGGGGGCAGGCCTTCGCAAAGGACGGTGGGGCTTCTCGGAGGCCCTCTGGCCTCCCGAGAGGCCCTCGTCTCCGGAGAAGGCCCAGAGAGCTTCCCGGGAGGCCTGAGGCCTTCGGCCTCCTGAGCCTCCTCCTCCTCCTCCTCCTCCTCCTCCTCCTCTTCCTCCTCCTACTACTACTCCTGAGGCCCACCTCCTTCTGCCTCCCCCCTGGGCGCGGCGTCATCAAAAGCTACTCGCCGTGAAAAACTGGCCCCGGTGGCCGTCGGGAGACCTCCCCAGGCCTCTGGAAGCCTCCAGATGCCTTTGGGGACCTCCAGAGACACATGGGAACTCCAGGGGCCAAGGGGACCTCTGGAGGTTTCCAGGGGCATCAGTGGAACCAGACCTGTTGAAGAGGAGGACGAGGAGTAGGGGGAGGAGGAGGAGGAGGAGGAGGAGGAGGAGGAGGAGGAGGAGGAGGGGGAGGAGGAGGAGGAGGAGGAGGAGGAGGATCGAGGGTTCAAGGTTTGAGAGAGCGTTTTCTGTGTCGTACTCCTTACTGTTGCGTGCGCAATACTGTGACAATACATCCGCTCTGGAACTGCGCCCCCTCGAAAATCCATCCTCTTCCTCTCCCGAACCGAAACCTCCCCCCTGACTTCTACCAGGGTACCCAGACGACGCTCTGTCCGAGGTTGGAGGATCGAGGATCGAAGCTCTTCGGCGATTCTACTCTTGGGGGCCTCCTGAGGCGACCCCGTGGCCGTTGCTGGCTTCCCTTCGGAAGGGGACAATTTGAAGGAGGACCCAGGCCTTCGGCGCCTTGACAACATAAGCATACGTCTGCCCGGCTGTGTCGACCACCGGGGGGACGGACCGGGCCCCCACGCCCGCAAAAAAAGCGCCCACGACGAAAAGCTCGTCTTGGAGAAGGAGTCGAGAGCCCCCCGGGACCCACGGATGGAAAGATCGACACATCGGGAAGCCTCCCCCACGAAATGAGACTGAGGATCGCGATGTTCCTGCCATCGTCAGCCCCTGGAGGCCCCGCGGGGCCTTCGCAGGCTTCTGGGCACCCCCGGGAGACCGTCGGAGCCCTCAGGAGCCCTGTGGGGGAGAAGGGGAGGAGATACGCCGCCGTCCTCACTCTCCACCCTCGTCCTCCCTCATCCTCCCGAACCTTCACCCTCAATCCCCGTCCTCCTCGAGAGGAAGAGGAACAGGAGGAAGACGGGCGGACTATGACGAGGACAAGGAGAAGGAAGAGGAGGGGGGGACGAAAAGGACCAGAGTAAACCCACGATGCGTCAACCGATGCTGTAATACACCCCTCCCGTCCCAAGTCCCCTCCTCGAAAATCCATACACATGTTCCTTTCCACTGTGGGCGCCTCCCCCTGAATGACGAGCGGCCGGTCGCCCCCTACTCATACGACGGCAACTGCTGTAAAGGATTTTCCCTCAATTTGAAGAACGGCCAGGGTAGCCAGGGTAGCTCAATTCGAAAAACACATGCCCTCCATCCGTCTAAGCGTTGCAGGATTCCAAAGCAATGGCCTGAAGGTCCGCGGAAATTTCACACGAGAGCACCTCAAGGAGGCCCAAATATAGCCTCCGCTTAACAAGAATAAGCCCTCCACATTTCTAACAGTTGCAGGATGTCAAAGTCGTGGACGCATGCTTCGCAGAAGGATCACTCGACAATCCCGCTTCAAAAGTGGAGCCGCAATCCATTCGTGATAATTGCATAATATGGAACGCTGGGTCGTAAAGGTCGAGAAAGGGTCAAGTGAGTGTGTAGATGGTGGACTTTGCATTCGAATGCAACCAAAGGGATACCCCAAGGAGGCGGAGCGTTCGGCAAGGAATGTGCCCAAGAGGCTGCAGACCCTGAACGATTCCTTTTCTGATGGGGGCGGCAGTGACATCCATGGTCGACCCACGATTGGAACTCCACCGGCTTCCAGACCCTGGACTTCTGATCTAAGGGTTCCTTGTCCAATGTCCCCACCATCTTGGAAAAAAATCGCCATTAACTCGCACAGCAGAGGACAATCTGAAAGCAGACTATGCACGGCGCTAGGGCGAGAGCCCCCTTTTGAAAACGGCTCGCCCTCTATCAGTCTTTGGTTGTGAAAACAATGGTGTGCGGCGCCAGCAAAGCGAGAGCACAATTGTGGAAACAGTTTGCAGCCCACGCGCCAACGCGATCTGAAGTCATTTGCTCTATCGGGCCTGCTGTGGCAACGAGGACGATGAAGATGAGGATGCGGATGTTTGTGCTGCTGGTGGCGACGGCGAGCCTGGGAGCGCTTGGGGAGGAATTGTAGCGATTTGGAGAGTCTGGGAGCGTCTTGGAGCGTCTGGGAGCGCCTGGAACAGCCTGGT